GAGAATTGCCTGAACCCAGGAGGCGGAGGTTGCGGTGAGCCGAGATCGCGCCATTGCACTCCAGCCTGGGTAACAAGAGTGAAACTCCGTCTCAAAAAAAAAAAATTATCTGTAGCATGCCTATGCTTTGCCAGGCACTTTGCAGGGTGTGCTGAGGGTATGCTTTATAAATACAGCTCTGACCTGCCCAATGAGTTTACCACCAGCCTGGGGCATCCCAAGTGGGGTGGGCTGAAGGAAGGGGAGGTCCTCCCACAAAGGTAGAGCCTGGACAGCAGCCCCCTCAGCCCCCAACACACACACACACACACACACACACACACACACACACACACACACACACGCTCTCTCTCTCTCTCTCTCTCTCTCTCTCTCTTCCCAGGCTCGGCTCTAAAGGAATAAATGCAGGATGCAGGGTTTAGCTAAGCGTGTTTTACGACGGCCAGGGAAATAACCCAGATATCACTGCAGTGCTTCCAGTTCAACGAGCACGACCCACTTTGAGTTCCTGTTTCCGGCCTGCCCCACTTCCCACCAGGGTGACGAGCACTCGACCCACTTTGAGTTCCTGTTTCCGGCCTGCCCCACTTCTCACCAGGCTGGCAGCCCGGTGCACTTCTGGTCTCGGCTTCCTCAGGTGCAGGCCTCACCCAGGAAACTGCAGCCGTCCAAACTTCTAGTCCTTCCCTTTGCTCTTGAACAGTCAGTCACTGTCCCAGCACGACGATCCACTAAGGAAGGAGCCTGTGCCTGAGTGGAGAGCCAGCTGGCTCTGGGCAGCACCACCCCGGGCACAGTCCATCGCACTCCCACTGTCCACACCTGAAATAGGGGTGATGCTATGGAGAAAACAAAGGACTGGCATAACTAAGCGGCCACGCAGCAGGGCACACACAGTGGCCCTGGCTTTGTCCTTAGCCCGTTGGTCACTTTGAGCTCCAGGGCTGCTCTCTGCCTCTTCTCACAGGTCCTCCCAGGGCCTAGTTCTGCACAGTTCTCCACCTCTCACCATTCCTCAACCTAATCAGTCCCAGTGCATCCAGATACACCCGGGGGAGTGGGCAGGCTGGGCAGTGCCACCTTGCTGACCGAATTAAACGTCCTGTGAACTGGCTCACATTCTTCTGCCCGGCCATGGCCCTACTGACCTCAGGTATAAAAGAATCTAACGTGGGCCTGATTCCTTTTGGGGGACTATAAAGTTATGAGAAAAAAATGTGGCTGCATTTTTGACTCATTCGCAACTCAGCATTTCCCAACTCGCTGATGTTTTCCCATCACCTGGGAGAGCACTCCTAGGTGGAGAGGGCAGGCTGCTTCCTGGGGAAGCCCACCAGCAAGTGCACCAGCCAGGGCCCTCCAGCCAGCGCCCTCCCTCTCCAAGAGGGACCAAGCTCGCAGCAGGCCAGTGAGGCAGCTCAGGATGAACCTGTACAGAAGTGCCTCGGCTCAGCAAGAGTGAAGCAATGAGCGTGCCGAGAGGCAAACGCCAACACGCTGGATGAAAGCAGATGCCGCGCCATGCCAAGCCCTGGCCCGGGCCACCAGAAGCCATAATGGGAGCTGGCTGAGGACACCAATGCAGAAGGCGGTAATGACTAACCTCCTACCCAGACATCCCGTAAGGGTGGGGTCTGGCGTCCACCTGGCCTCTGGAGCTTCAGGGAGGCCTTACAGCCAGTGGCTACAAGCATAGCAACCGGTTGGGCCAGTCACTTACGGTCCCTGCGGACCGGCCCCTTCCTCCCTAGGAGGGGACCAGCCACCCCGCAGGAACCCATCCAGTTTGAAGCCTGGTGGCCAGTACTTAGGAGGTGCTTGGGGAGGCAGTCATCTTCCTGAAGCGTCAGGATTTACAGGAAGGTACAAACCCCTCGGACCCAGGCCAGGCATCTGGCCTCCTTGTGTATGGGTCCTGGTGGGTGATATCTGAGGTGAGACATTTCTCCCAAAGGGGACATGAGAAAGACCTTAGAAAAGTCAAGTCTCAGACGCCCAGCCACAGAGAGGTGACCCCAGGGCTGGAAACCAAGTGTTGGTCATGGGTCTGAGACCACCCCTCAACCTCGGCCCCACCTAACGTTCAGCTCTGTCCCCACCAGCACCCAACCAGAAGATCCTCACAGCTCAGCATCAGAAAGCGCCCCAAGAACTCCTGACCTTGACTGCCCACAGGTATGTAAAGGTGTCATCCCAAACTCCGAATATCCACCAGACAACCCTGGCCTCCACCACACCCACCCCAATAATTAAAAAGAAAAATGCTGGGCGTGGTGGCTCATGCTTGCAATCCCAGCATTTTGGGAGGCCGAGGAAGGGGTATTATTTGAGGTCAGGAGTTCGAAACCTGCATGGCCAACATGGTGAAACCCCATCTCTACTGAAAATACAAAAATTAGCCAGGCATGATGGCGGGTCCCTGTAATCCCAGCTACTCCAAGGCTGAGACAGGGAGAATTGCTTGAACCCGGGAGGCAGAGGTTGCAGTGAGCCCAGATCGTGCCACTGAACTCAATCCTGGGCAACAGAGTAAGACTCCAACTCAAAACAAAACGAAACAAAACAAAAAACAACCAACCCTCTGTCCTCCTGCAGAGCTCTCTCTTCTAGTAAACAGCAGGTCCAACAGACCTCCTTCCCGTACTCGGTCCACACCCAATGCTGCCCACTGCCACCTCCCATCTGGACAGGGCAAAGCCTCCCCATCGTAGCACCCATCCCTCCTCTGGGTCCTCCACGCAGAGGCCACGAGATCCCTGGAAAATGCTAAGTTCCATAAGCCCCTCCAGGGGCTCTCATTCCACTGTAAAAAGCAAGTCCCTGTCCGGGTGCGGTGGCTCACGCCTGCAATCCCAGCACTTTGAGAGGCCAAGGCGGGCAGATCACGAGGTCAAGAGATTGAGACCAGCCTGGCCAACATGGTGAAACCCGGTCTCTACTAAAAATACAAAAATTAGCTGGGTGTGGTGGCACACACCTGTAGTCCCAGCTGCTCGAGAGGCTGAGGCAGGAGAATTGCTTAAACCCAGTAGGCGGAGGTTACAGTGAGCTGAGATTGCGCCACTGCACTCCATCCAGCCTGGCGACAGAATGAGACCGATCTCAAAAAAAAAAAAAAAAAAAAGCAAGTCCCCATCTCAGCCTGTAAGGCTGCAGGAGACCTGGGCCTCCTTTTCCCTCCCCCACCTCCGCTCACTCCTGCCACACCCGCCTCCTGGTGGTCTCAGGGCCTTACCCTCGAGGCTCTTCCTGCCTGGATGGGTCTGTCCCTGGAATGCAGAGCCTTCGGTCTCTCCGGGTCTCTGGCCAAAGCCACCGTGTGAGTGAGGACTGCTGAGACCACCAGGTAGCAGAGAACGACCTGCCCACCTGCACAACCGTGACCCCCACCCTTCGGGCTCTGTTCTCAGTACCCAGCTCCATCAGACACTTGTCTCTGTGCCCTGTCTCTCCCTTCAAGGTAAAAACCTCTGCTGCAGCAGCGACTGTGTCACAAATGCTGGCCCCCGTCCCCAGCAGGCACACAATAAACACTTGCCAAAGAGGGCATGAATGAAATGGAACACACCCTCACCACCCAGCCTGGGATTCTTGTGCCGTCAACACCTCTCCCTTCACACTGTCCAAACACGAGCTTCTGCAATCCTCTCGCTGCCCCGGAGTGTGGAAGGGCATCTCCTTTGTAAGCCTCTGCCAGCCTCTCTGCCACCAGACAGCTGTGCCCGAGAGCCTTGGAGGGGCCGCCCACCCACCCGTCCCACCGCGCAGGGTGGGCTGTGCGTCCTCCATGTTTACTAAAGTCACTGTTCTCCTCATTCGGAGGGCCTCCGCGGGGCAGGCGGTCAGCCCGTGGCGCCGAAATCAACCCCCCCACCCCAGCAGGGAGCGCGCCGCACAGGTCAGGGGCCCCTTCTTTAACTTCTCAACAGGAAGTCCTCACCCTGCAAGGGCGCCTCTCAGGTTTCGGATCCGTGCTAAAGAAAAGCATCTGTTCTCGGATTAAACTGCAGTGCGCGGGGTGGGAGCGCCCGGCACCCCCTCGGGATCCATCCACAGTCCGTCTTCTCCGGAGGCGCCCCGCGGACAGAGCGCACCGGCGGCCTCCACCCCGCGCCCGCGCCGCAGGTCCCACGTCCCCGCGGGGACGAGGCGCCGGCCTCCCCTCCACTGCGCGGCGCTTTGTCCTCCGGCCCCGGCCCCGCTCCCCGCGCCGGCGCTCCCCGGGCCCCGGCCCCACCGCGGCCGCCCGCTCCCCGCAAACCGCCCGCGCTCCCCGGCCCGCTGCGGCCGAACCCGGGCGGCGGCGACACTCACCCGCGCCGGGGGCGCCGGCTCCGGGCCCCGGGCTCCGCCACCAGCGCAGCAGCGCCCGCGCGGGCTCCAGGCTCACGGCGCAGCGCTGCTGCTTCACCCACAGCACGGAGCGCAGCGGCTCCGCCGCCCCCGTCGCCCCCATCGCTGCGGCGGGCTGGTCCGCCAGGCGGGGGGCGCGCGGACGCCGAGGGGCGCGGGACCGTTAGCGGCCCCTGCAGTGGCCCCGGCGGGCGGCGGGAGGCGGCGCTGCGTCACCCCGTACGCGCGCGGCGGGGACCGCGGAGGGCCGGGCGGAGCGGGGGCGAGGAGGGGCCGGGAAGGGGCGGGCCGGGCCCGGGCCGGCGAGGGCTCTCTCCTCTCCCCTCCTCTCCCGTCCGCGGCTGCCGCTGAGTGAGACGCTCCTGCGGCCGGCTGGGCTCAGTGGCGTCTTCCGCGCGGTCCTCGGTTCAGGCGGGGTCCCGGCGGCGCGGAAATGCGGCCTACGGTCGGGCGCGGGCGGGGGATGGGCCTGCATGGGGGCGTCACGGGCGGCGTGACCTTGGGCGGCGGTACCCTCTTCGATCCTGGCCTCCTGTCGTCCTGGGAGGGGCACTGCGGGTGGGCCCGGGCAGGCGTGGAAGGCTTTCCGGAGGAGGAGGCCTTCTTAGGGGGCTGGGGCGCTGGCCCTTTGAACTGCTCTGGGGCCTAAAGCCACAGAGCAGACGGCTGCGCACCCCGGAGCTGGCCCTAAGAACCGGAGCCTGGGCCCCAGACTTGGAGAGACATGGCCCCTGGGGCTCTAATTCACCCCCTCCGCATGAAGGCCGCCCTCACCCCCAGCTGAAGGAACCAGCAGCCCACAGGGCCCCAGCCCTGCCTTTAGAGCGACCCTGTCCCTCCACTCAAGCTGCGGTGTCGGTGCCCACGGTGCCTAACACAGCCCCATAGGAAGCTGGCACAACCTGGTTCAGAGGGCACAGCCCTCCCTGACTTAGTGAAGACTGCCCCTGCAGAGGTTAAGAGCACAGGGCAGTGTGGCGCAGCCTGAGCTCACAC